AAAAAAAAAAAAGAAAAAAGTCCCCCCCCCCCCCTCCCCCAAATAAATAAAAAAAGAAAAAGGGTTTGTTCCCAGCCCTGGGGATTTCCCCCTTTGCGCATTTTGATCGGGCCCAGGCCGAAGTAGCACCCATGGCAGCCGCACGTTGGCTTTCACCCCCACTCATTTTTTTCCACCCATTTATGCCCACGGAAGACAAAAAAAAAAAAAAGGAGGGCAAAATCATGCAAAACAACATCAGCACGCCACGACATCAAAAAAAAAAAAAAAAAAAAAAAAAAAAAGAAAAAAGAAAAGAAAAAGCGAGAAGAGGGAAAAAGTAACGGTCTCAAACAAGACACACCACCTTCTGTACTTCCTTGACTTTTCAGGCCCCGTAAACAACAAAAAAGAATGCGGGGAAAAAAAAGGACTGTTAGTTATTGTTGCTTTCTGTAGTTTGCGTTACTCCTCCACAAGCCTCCCTTTTTTTTTGGTGTTAAAATATTTTTTCGTTCTTTGCCTTTTTTTTTTGTTGGAAGCAAAATCAAGAGTAAAAAAAAAAAAAGAAAAAGAACGACTGCGACAAAAAAATAAAGGGCTGCAAGAGATTAATTTATGAGGATGGCCCTGCGTATATTTGCGGACGTAGGGACTGCGTCGAAGTGTGCGGTATTGTTTCCAAAGAATGTATCTGCCTGTCAAGTGGTAGCGGAGGAGGCAAAGGTCAGAGCGATGGAGAAATTGAATGCAATCTACTCCTTTGAAGGAAATCGTACATTCGACAACACTGCTGTGGCTGCTGATATTGCGGCCGCAGAGTTTGATGTCTCTTTAAGTCTGCTTTCCGTGATTATGAGTGTTTCGACGGCTAAAGAGATACGCGAAGAGGCCAACAAACAAATTGTTGAACTCAAGTCATTTGAAATCGATAACTTTCAATCCAATAAGCGCCTTTTTGAGGCTTTGAAGGAAGTTTCCCAGAGCTCTCAATATAAGGAGGAATACTTGGAGGGTAACAAAGATAAAGAGTACTCTTATTGGCTTGATGAAGAACTAAGAAATTTCAGACGAAAAGGAATGGAATTGCCCGACAACAAGTTTCAAGAAGTTGTGGCATTAGAAAAAGAACTATCTGCCTTATGTACCACGTTTTCTCGGAATATTAGCGAGGATCAGAGTGAGGTTTTGGCTTCAGCGGAAGAACTAAAGGGGGTACCAGGATCCATCATTGACGGACTCAAAAAGGCAGATGATGGTCGATTTATATTGAAAATGGATTACCCAACCTTTTTTGGCGTGATGAAAAACTGTGAAGTGGCAGCTACCCGTCAATCCATGGCCCGGGCCGCAAGTAACAAAGCATATCCCGTTAACGAGCGGGTTCTGAAAGAAATCATTGCCAAAAGACAGGCCCTAGCAGAAATTCTTGGCTTTCCGTCTTACAGTCATCTTAATTTAAGTGATAAGATGGCAAAATCTCCTGATGTTGCAAAGGCGTTTGTCGATGACCTTATTCCTCGTCTTCAGCAGAAATGGAAATATGAATTGGAGTTGATAAAAAAAAACTTACATGAAAGCTGTATTTTAACAGAGGATGGACGTTTACGAGAATTTGATGTGGCATTTATGATGAATCAAATCAAAAAGATTCATCTTAACGTCAGCGAGACCGAAATCCAAGAATATTTTCCTCTTGATGTTACTGTCAAGGGGCTTTTTGATATTTATCAGGCCTTTTTTGACATTACTTTTACACGCATTGACAATGGTTTTGAGCTTTGGCATGAAAGCGCTTTTACTCTTCAGGTTAAGGATAACGCAACTGGAAAGACGTTGGGACACGTGATTATGGACCTTTTTCCGCGTGAGGGAAAATATTCGCATGCCTGCTGTCACTCAGTCGTCCCTCCCATCCTTTTGCATGGGTCTGAAGACGATTTTTCGCCAGCCTTAGGCGTTGTAATCGCGAATTTCCCGGCGCCTTTAAAGGATTGCCCTTCTCTGTTTCTTCACGATGACGTGACGACATTTTTTCACGAATTTGGTCACGCCATTCATGGACTCATGGGGCGTAGTCGAATGGCTACTTTTGCTGGAACAAATGTTAAATGGGACTTTGTTGAATTACCCTCTCAGATGTTAGAGGAATGGGTTTGGGAGCCCGAAATTCTTCAAAAAATAACATCTCATTACAAAACGCATGAATGTTTACCCAGTAACCTTGTGGAGGCAAAAGTTAAGTCCCGAAATGCATTTATTGGTCGGGATTCTTTAAGACAGTTGGAATTTGCCACCTACTCCCTCGAAGTTTTTTCTGCCCCATTTGCAGGCGGAAAGGATCCCAATAAATTGGATACCGCGGAACTAATGAGGAGTATTCGTTCAAGAATCAATCCTGACATTAAATGTGAGGATGACACGCATTTTGAATGTGGTTTTGGACACCTTACTGGTTATGGTGCGGGGTACTATGGTTATATGTGGTCCAAGGTTTTCGCCCTTGATGTGTACGAATATATCAAGAGCCGTAACGGCCTTTTGGATCCTGTTCTTGGGAAGCGCTACATTTCTAAGATTATTGGCGTTGGGGGCGGCCAAGATCCCACTGCGATGCTGAAAAAGTTTTTAGGCAGAGAGCCTAACAGCGATGCTTTCTTGAAAACTATCGGTGTCTAGCATTTAGCTTTTAATAATGAAAAGAAAACGAAAGTAATATATGGGGAGTTTACTTTGAGCCCTTTTAAAAATTATTCTGCCACGAAGAGAATGAGGTAGGGTAGACGGATTGGTCTTTTACTTGCTGGGGAAAGATTATAATCATTATCATAGGAGGTTTTGGACTGGATTTTTACGAGGAAAGCTGTCTAAATAAATAAATAAATAAATAAATAAATAAATATATATATATATATATATACTGGCAAGAAGAAGATATCTCTTTAAGATTTTTTTTTTCATCTTATGAATATGAGCTTGTGAAGAGAATGATCGCGGGAAGAGCTGGCTAACTTAATGGATACATATCCTGATAAAACGAATACACTTCTTTAAAACGCTTTTCTGCCGTATGAATTTTCGGGAAAAACACGAATTTAGTTAGGCAGAGAACCGATAGAGGCAAGATAATTTTTTATTTTTATTTTGCCATTGCACCCGCCCCCTTGATTCCCACCTCGCGGCGGGGTCTTGTGATTGGAGGATCCCAAAGTCTGCCACTTCTTAAGTAATATATATATATATCTCCAGCTCGAATAGAGTGCGCCATGTCGCGATATTGTCCATCATACTATGCATGTTTTGTGAGCAAATATCGAGGAAGTGACGAACTGACTGCCTTTCCATTCACCTTTTTCAATTCTCTTCTTGTTTTATTTGTATAGATAGTTTGAGGATCTGTCCAGCAGCTGGGGCAAATATTTTTAGATTTTCGTTACCCAATTTTTGCTCACATTAATCGCGTTATAACGTTTTTCTTAGGTTCTATTCCATGTTTTGTTGGTTTTAGTCTCTCTCATTCCGTCTCTTTCTTTATATATATAAACTGGGAGGAGATTTTGATACCAATGGATTGGTCTTCATCGTCTTCTGATGAGGAGCTCCGAACAGCTCTGCGGCACAACGCCAGAAATATGCAGGCTGAGGGACGGGCTGTACCAACTTCTGGACCTCCAATTACTTTTTACAATGGCGAAGCTGTGAAGGTACAATACGGCACAATCTATTGTCCCTTTAGAAGAAAGTACTTCCACATACATCCGGTAAAACGAAATCCGGCGGATTTTTTTGGTGATGTAAACGTGAGGCGGAATAAACGTCGTTGTTTGTCTCCCTCGTCTGTTCAACTGCTGGATGCGTCTTTTTTTGACGAAACACCTCTTGAATTCAAAGAAATTACACTGAAGGAAATCAATGATAATGGGTTTTATCTTTTCAACGGTATTAGGAAATCCTCCTCTTCTTCGCTTACGACGTTGTATCCACCACTTTTGCAGGATTTCAGGTATTCTCGCGTTGCATTGAAAAATCTGTTCAAAGAATACATGTTGTCGCCAGTTTGTTTGCGTAGCGAAAAAGATGGCTGGAAACGAACTACATACCAACTACCCCCAAAGGGAATAGTTTCAAGCTTTTTTGACGGTCGTTTTGCCTTCTGTGGCATGGGTTCTCAGTCGGAGCTGTTTATTGTGGAAAATCAAAGGCTATTGCCTCACTCTATTAAGATTCCGGGTGGCACTGATGATATAATTGGAATGCATTGTATTGGTCGTAATGCCATGTTCATTGTAAGGAAAAACCGGCTCCAACATCTCTCTTGGGATTCTGATACTCCGTCAAATACTGCGGTTTGGGATTTTTCTCCTGAGGTCAATGCAAATTTTTCTTGTTCATGCACCAATGCATTTTCAGAGAATCAAAGTGCTTCTTGTGTTATTCTTGCCCATGGGAGGAGCCTGTTTACCGCTGCCATGCATGAGAACACGATTCATAAGCCTCAAAAATTGTGCACTTTTCGTACAACGCCGATTTTATCGGTTGACACTTTTTCTTTAGGGCCTCTCGCTAACCAGGTGGTATTGTGTGGAATGAGGAATGGCACCATTCAAGCGCAATCGTTGCAGGATATACGAGCTCATCGTTCCTTTAATTCTGGTATTCAACTCAAAGCAGCGTGCATACCCTACGTTCATTGTGTGGAAAACAGTTTTAATTTTGTTTCGGTCTCTATTATTGGTGAGATAAAGTTGTGGGATATAAGATATATGAATAAAAAAGAAGCAGTCTTTGAAATGGTGATGGACACAGCTGGTGGCCGCTTTCACGATATACAGGCTGCTTTTGTTGATGACATTGCTTGCTTTACGAATTTTACCGGTTGCATTTCTTGCATTAACACGAGAAGGTGGCTTAGTCTTGGTCAGTACCAAAGAGCTGGGGGAAACGAGGGCCGAATCCATTTAGTGCGAGGTACATTTGGCTACCAAATACTCGATGCTGGTATTTGCAATACAATGGCCTATTTATTGCATGTTGTCTACTCCTATAGCCGTTTTTTGCATACCTTTTTTCTTTTGTTATTAGAACTTACGTTTCAAGATGTGAGAGCTTTTTGCTGTCAAAAAGACATTTCTTTCTTCATTACTTCCTTTTCTTTGGTTTTTGAAGGTTTGCTCCAGGATCGGGTTCAAAAGGGTTCACCATTACTGGCATTGATTCAAAAGGTTCTTGCTGGGTGTAGCTCAAAAAAGTAAGAGAATACAAATGATTTCTTGCGTAGTCTTCAATGTTCTTTTGGGAAGGCTCCAATTCATGAGAAAGCAGATGTGAACCTTGCTGAAAGAACAAGAAGAATGAGCAGCATTCTGAATCAATGCATAAATCAAGCGGATCATCTCTTATCTAGAGAGGGCATTGAGGATGTGGAAACCTATCTGCAGCGTGCGTTTACTTTTTTGGATGCTTAAGGGACGTATAGTACTCTGCGTTGAAGTCTAATTTGGACAGTTGTACAATAACAACGAACGTCACATTTTTTTGGAGGCATCAACATGTGTATGATAGCGATATTTCGACATTACCTATTCGAAATAGTTGCGTCAGTTGTGCCACAATTTTACCCGATCTGGAGTTGTATGCCGTAACCCATCGATACGTTTGTACCATTCATATTTATACACTGCATGGTGCGAGGGTTTGTCGGCCAACCGTGAATTTGGATTCTCCGCTGTGCATTGTATTTTTTCCAGATAAAAACGAACAGCAGTGGCATCACGGGGGTGAAGGGTAATTTTATCGGGCTTTACTTGTGTTCAGATGATTAAATGTGTTGAAGATAACGCTGCCGTGACAGCTGCAGCTTTTTCCTTTAATGCCAACTTATTACACACTGGCTCTTAGGACAAAAATGTTTGCAGGGTTGCTGGCCTAAATGGGAAATTTCGGGCCGTATTGGGGGAGTTACTAGATGGGAGAGTCGGGGTTATCTTCAGCTACGCAACATAATGCGAATGACTGAGTCATTTTTTCACGGAGTTTTGACCGTGGTGCACGCGTGGCAGACGCTCTAAATCCCTGTACATTGAGGCGGTTGAAGGGAAATGAAGGGTGCTGTGTGGAAAAAAATATTTAGTCCCGACGATTCAGTTGTTCTATCTGGGTGTGAACGAAAAATAAATATTTGGAATGCCATATCTTATACATTTGTTAATACATTTGAAATTAAGGCTATGGTTACCTCTGAGAAAGACGTTTATTTATTTCTTAAGCAGCTGCCTTTTTTCCATTGAAATTTGGAAATTTGCTTATCATATTTAATTTATATGGAGAGTTCTACATTCTAAAGATAGACACGGGCAATATCTTCTTGGATATGACTTTGCAGAAACCTGTGTATCACACAGCGAGTGGCTTTACTAATTATGTTCTTACATGTGGTGGGATTTTGCGTGGGTCGGGTGGGGGTTTGGCAGGTGGCAGAAGCAACTAACCAGGAATAATGCCACTCCCATTTTCATTATGTTTTCAGAGTAGCCATAAAGACGTAAGCTCAGTAAAAGCGGTGATCATGCCTTTTTATCAGAAGTGGTTCCGCATTCTTGGTTTTCCCCGTGTTTTTCTATTATTTTCTTTAAAATCCACGCAAGAGAAGGGAAAAAAAGGGAAAAAAAGGAAATAGGAGGCTGGAACAAGAGAAGGTGAGGTACATTTGTAACACGGAGAGTTCAAAGTCAAAAACGATGTTTCGTGGTTATGCCAGATTAGCCTCAAAATGTGCACGGAACGTGTCTCCAACTTCACGCAAAATTCAGCCGGTAAATTTCAAGGATGACACTATCTTTAGGAAGAAATCTCTTTGGTGGTTAGTGCGAGCCTTAGTGGTGCTTCGCATATGCCAAATTTCATTTTTTTCCAGGAACGCGGTGTATTTGATGAAGAAATCAGAATCTGTTTTGGGTCCTTTCCTTATCTACAACACTCTCGTGAAGATGACAGCATATGGCCATTTTTGTGCCGGAGAGGATGAGCGTGGGCTGAAGAATACGGTGAAAGCCCTTGAAAGGCAGGGAATTGGCTCTGTCCTTGATTATGCTGCCGAGGCAGACGTCGCGGGATTTGCCCCGCCACCCGGCTTGGAAGAGGCCCCAAACCTATCCATGGCTTCTCTCGTTCACAAAACGACGGTGAATTATTCGTCTCATGAGGAGCTGTACGATGAGAATATGAAGTTGTATGTTATGTGCGTTATGCATGCTTCGCTCAATCAGCCCGTAAATGGGGTAGGCCTGGCGGCTGTGAAAGTTACGGGCATGTGTGATCCGCAGCTACTCGCCCGCGTCTCGGCTATACTTCACTCGGTGCACGCCGGTTGGGTGCAAAATTTTACTAATGAAAAACCTCCTCCTATCGAGGAATGCCGTGTCGTGATGGGGACTAACAAAGAGTATCAGTTATACATTACTTATGATCAATTACGTAAAGGACTTACGGCTTATGGTTCAGCACGAAAATACACGGAGGAAGAGGCGGAGGCTGTCATTAAGGCACTTGATGAGAAAAATGAAGGCAAAGTGAACTATTATCAGTTCAAGAAGGTGGTTTCAGAAGCGGTTCTTTCCATGGAGCCCACACCTGTCCAAAAGCTTATCGTTGAGAAGCTTCCAAAACTCACAGAAGAAGAGCGCGAGCTTTGGCGGGCATTGCATAGGCGTTTGTCTGTTATTGTACGAACGGCTAAGGATTTACGGGTGCGTGTTCTGTTTGATGCCGAACAAACATTCTATCAAGTTGCCATTGATAATATTGTGCTGCAGTTTCAGCGTCAGTTCAACCTTGAGGAACCAACTGTTTACAATACGTATCAGTGTTATTTGACATACACGGAGGATCGCGTGTTTAACGATTTGACGCGGTCTGAGCTTGAGGGGTGGGTTTGGGGTGGAAAGGTTGTGCGTGGAGCGTATATGGTACAAGAGAGAGAAACGGCATCTAAATACAGCTACAAGAGTCCTGTGTGGCCGACATATGAGGAAACCAATGCATGTTACCAGGCGTGTGCAAGGCGTATTTTGAGGGAATTTACTCGGTTGCCCAATACACCCTTTGAAGTGTTATTTGGTACGCATAACAAAGAATCTGTAGAGGAAATATCTGAAGCTATTCTCAAGCTTCCTCCCGTAAAGGGTCTAGCAGTGTTTGCACAGCTGTACGGTATGGCAGACCATTTAACGATTCCCTTGCAAAAAGCGGGATTTCGCGTATTCAAGTATCTTCCTTATGGCCCTGTGAAGGAGACTATTCATTACTTGGGCCGGCGGGCCACGGAGAACGCTTCTGTTCTCGCGAATGGGGGCTCAGAAGAGGTTGATTTGATGAGGAAGGAACTGCGCCGTCGTCTGTTTTGTTTCAAGAGCTACCGGGAAAAAGATGTAAAGGCTTAGTCCCAATTTTGTATTTTCTTTTTTTTTTTTTTTTTTTTCTGGTTAGTATGATTTGTCTGACCGCGTCTACAATAAGCATTTGCACGTTTGAGGGGATATTCGTGCATGTAGCCGATTATATCGAGTTAGCTTCTAGCTTCACTTTGTGATGTCGCCACTGTCTCTTAAAAAACAAAAACAAAAAAAACAACAACACAAAAAACAACAACAACAAAACGGAGAGATCTGAGGTGACTTGTCAATTCACCTGGCAATAGCTGCTGCATATCCAAGACCCGTCTGTTGCCAGGGACTGCGCAATGTGAATGCATTTCTTTTTTTTTTCTTTTTTTCTTTTTTTTTGTATGTGTGTAACACGAGGAAAAATGGAAGGAATGTAAAAACAATAAAAGACGAACTCAACCCACTTATTATTATTATTTGTTCCGTGTGACTCCTGCGGATAATCGCAAATTGTTTTTTTTTTTTTCTTTGGGGGAGGGAGGAGGGGGCTGGAGGCTGTGTTGGCTGATGTTATTGCTACTTGCACGCTTTGAAACAGCGGGTCTGTGCTACATGTTTTATTTAATTTTTATTTTTGATTTTGTATTCTTCCCTCTTTCAAGTTTTTTTTTCTTTTTTTCTTTCTTTTTTGTTTGTTTTGGTTTTATTTCTTCCAAATGCTCGAACCCCAATGAGTATTACAAAAGTACTTTACGATGAATAAGGGTCTTTCCAAGCGTGTTTTGTCCCCACTAAAGAGGACAGCCTCAGGTTCAATTAGTTCAATAGAGTCACTGCCGCCAAAAACCGAGGCTCCGGAAAAACTGCGGACCTACAAGGATTTTATCAACCGAACCATATTTACGATTGCCATGGCGTACGTATTTCTTGTACTCATTTCATTGGGTGTGGAGGTGGTTATTCCGCTTGTCATTGCCATTGAGTGCACAATGTTTTACGAAATTACTAGAATAAACCAGCGTGCACGGAAGGATAGGCAACTTGTATCAATGTTTGTCTTGAAGCTTTGGTTTCTGGGATCGACCATATTTTTAGTGACGAGTCATAGCATTCGTGAACCACTGGTCGCGACATCCCCATGGCTTTTGAGGTATTACGCCAATTTTGGCATGTTTGCGTTCGGCTTG